TTTTATTATAAAATGTCCATTTTAAATCGTTTATAGATAATCAATTTTACACAATTTCAGCATTTATTAAATTGATATACATTAATGCAACACTAATCTATATCAGTATCATTTTTATTGACATTATTTTGCAAAAAATTGTCTTTCATATTTTTTTTCAAAATTCACTCCTTTTTACATAAATTTCCATTTAAAATCCTCAAACTTCTGACAACCTATATATTTTTTTGTGGCAGAAAATTTTCTTTACTTCAGAGCAATAAAAGTACAAAATTTGAAGAAATTCTACTGAGAAATGGTGACACAATCCTATTACCTTAAGATGAAAAAAATGCAAATTTTCAGCTGAATGATTAACTACTTTTCTTTTAGATTCATGCAAAGATAATCATTGGCTGTTAGAGGTTTTATGGGGGTGAAGTATAGCTTTTGAATTAATCCAAGTAAAATTGCAGAAAAGTATGAAACATTGCAAATGTCAGGACCACTGGAACAATGGATAGGCTCTATAACTACATGTATAATCCAGAGGTCCGGGGTCCGGGGATAAAGTTTCCGTTGTGATAGCTTTTTATCTAATCAAGTTAAAGAATGAACAAACTTAAGTTAGCAAAGTAAGACACCAGGAAGGAATAAGGGAGAAAAAAATTAATGAAAGGGATAAAATAACGATTTTTTTTATTGTTGCATCAATGAAAATAATCCTTCGTGTTAATACACGAAGGATTATTTTCATTGATGCAACAGTAAAAAATCAAAGTACTGAAAGTACTGAAAGCTAAGGCAAAAGATATATATATATTATTTTTTGGAATAGAGAACAAAATAAAGACGAAGTTCCCATCATATTGTACAGAAGGATTTACTGTTAATTTGTTATGAATCAAAGTTTTATGTAAAAGTGTACCACTGTGAAGTTATTCTTCTTGTGTGTACAGTATATCTTTATAGGTTTGTCAGAAGAGGGGTACCAAGTTTCCTCTAGAATATATCATTTTAAACCTTTGGATAATTAATTTGCATAGGAATTAGGAATTGCTTCCCTTTGTCCATACAATGTATTTCATAGAACATTAAAAACTGAAACTGGCATTTACCCCTTTGACCAATACCTGATTATTTTAAACCA